ACATGGCAGAGCGCGTGAAAAATGCACAAAATGTACCCTAAGAACTAAATTCAACAACATAAGCTGCGTGAGCCGATCACCGTTTCGATCAACTTCAAGTAAGTAAGTGAGAACATTTCGGAACGACGTGCGATGGTAATCTAACGAAAAAAGGGAAACAGCACAGTTGGTGAGCAAGCGTTGAATGTAAAAATCTATCAACCCAACGTGGAGGATATTGTCAGTCTTACTTCGTTTTGCAACCACTGATCATGAAGTCTAGTGCGCCGATTTCGGTTACTGTCTTTTGGCTGCCCATTTGGATGAACCAGCAAAATAAGGATTGGAATGTTGAGAGCAGGATCAAAGAGAAAGTAGAGAATTCATATAGACTGGGTAGCAAGAATAATGAGTAGATGCACGCGCGATACTGGTTTCGACACTCAGTGTCCTGGTTAGGGTTTTCATAACCTCATGCCAGGTCTTAATTTGATCACTCCTGACATTTTTCTATCTGCCACCTGCCTCGGTAAATATCAAGCGCAATTGGGCGATAAGTGAGAATATGGTTTATACAAACTCCAACAGGTCTCACGCGTGTGGTAAGCAATCGGCAGAGTATAATACCAGCTAGAAAATTGGAGATGATGCGGATTAAACAAATTCCTCTTTGATTTTTACTAGAGCGAGTGGTCAATGAGGTGAAGAAGCTTTTCTGATTTGTCCAGGGATTCCACTTGAGCATCGCGGTCTCTAGCGAATACCACGATGTCCATTGACCGGGTACTTCGGAACACCTAAGGAAGGTTCTTGTAAGATTCATCCTGCATTTCTGGCGAACTGTAATCATTCGATGCACACACGGATACAACGATCATGCACCCACGTTTCGCTCCGTACTCATATAGCTGATAGCTTCTTGTTGGCTAACCTTACTGGGGGAAACCTGAGTGATCTCCCATGGGTCGCGCAAATAGAAGCATGCATTACGACTTGGCAACGTGAAAAAACTGAAACGACGGAAGAGAGGGTTTCCTAATGGGCATCTAGGACTACAGGACACGATATCTTAGCGGCAGTCGACACCGAAAAAATCTATTTTTTGTTTGTTTGTTTGAGAACCGTAACCGGAGCTTTTGACTTAAAAATTTGACCCACATGGCACCGTAAGTCCAACGCGGAAGCGTGACCGAAGCACCCGCGTGGGCGCTTTCAGATACCTGCCACACCAGGTCTTTGGGTCTCAGTTCAGTGTGTTGTTCTCTGGTGCATTCATTATCGGTCCGCTGTTTGAGATATTTAATGAGCCTTGTGCATCCACTGCGACAAGCGGAACGTGGACGGGACAGCACCTTGTTGGTTGGGGCCGCCCAGTTTGGGTGGGCGGTAGATGTCTAATGGAGCGCGAAAAAGTCTCCCGCTGTCGTGAGGATGCCCAAGGCACCCCGCGCCTACGTCTATCTAGCGGGGGTTTCGTGAGCGGTAAACTGTTCTTCAACGCATGTGTTTGCTAGAGTGACCTCCACAGGAAGCCAAGTGCCCAAGCAGCTGGCCTTGTGAAATTGAGCTTCGTCTGGCCTCCAACCATTGACCGTCCAGGCTTGATAGTATTTGCGGCTATGAGAAGCCATCTGGTATAGCTCGCAAAGTCATGGAGGCAGGCAAGCAATCACATCGCATCAATGTGCAGTCTCGTCATGATGGAAGGATATTCCAACGTGTTACACGACTTTCCAAGTGGATGGAGAGCATAAATCATAATCATAACGAAGAATTCGGAATCGTCGACCCGGAACTAGTGGTTTCCAAACACAAATGACAGCTGAGCTGCCCACCAGTGGGGAAACACAAAAATCAAGCAAGAAAAATGAACTTACGCGTTTTTGCCTGACGTATTTTCTTTGCGATGGTTGACTTCTGTACGTTTTCATCCGGCTAGAAAAACAGTACAGCCAAAGATAGACGCAGGAATAAGTAAAATGAAGCCCGAGAAAAAGCAACGACAGAGGTAAGCACTCAAGTACGGTAATTATGTCTTTTACGGTTTTCAACCTAGAAAACTAGAACAACCCAATTCAGTTCAACCACCATTAAACAGGAATGCTCCCTGGATCACAGTGCAAGGCGGCGGAGGTTAATCGGTTAAGGTTACCAATATATCACCCCCAAGGAAGTGTTCGAAATGTGTCGTTGCATGACTTTCTTCATCCTAAACGGTTTGTATGACAGCCCTTTGATTGGTCGCCTAGTCCTTACTGAACAGTGTTTAAATCATTGTAGTCAAAAATAAGAAGTAAAAAGTTAAAATCAGCATTCGGACAAATTAGTATGCAGAGATAAACAGAAAGGAGCTATTTCAAGACGGTTGTGCAGTTAGTCCGTAATACAGCGTACTCTTCCTCAGAAAGGTACGAGCAGAGGACAGTGAATGTGAAGGGAGACAAGGCAATTTACCTGTGTCAGAACAGTTAGTAATTCGGCGTGTAACATTGCCAACAGCTGAGCACGGGTTCGACAGTTCTTCAGTAACACCACATAGACCTGAGGATGACGGATGAGTTCGCCTGGAAGACAGGTAACATGCACATATAGAAAGTAGGTCTATGACGACGTATGTCCATTCAGAATGAACTAGTTTCTGCATATTCAAACCGAAATACACATGCACCAAAAACATACATTTTATGTACTTAAACTAAAGCATATAAGAGAGCAGCTAAACGCGACTGCATTCAAGGATATCAGTACATTTCATGAATAGCAAAATTCCACAAGGGTGACATGAAAGGTCTTCCGTTCGATTACCAAACGGAAATTTGACATTGGAGAATCGGACTATTTCCACCCACAGCCCACAAGCCAATCATTGAAAGTGTTTTATAAACATTATTGCACCACGATTTGTTTGGCACACATTCCGGTGTCAGACGTGTGTATATACAGTACAATCGATTCTGTTTGAGTAGACCGCGTTTGATGGATGATGCCACCAATAGTCAAAGAATTGCTTATTACCAGGGATTTTATCTAAGTTTTTTGCAGAGTTGTCTGACATACCGAGTCCTCAAATAATAACGGAAAACTAGAGTCTGAGGGCCATTTGAATTCGATCTGATACTTAAACAGAATTTGACCATTTTCTCCCCGAAAAAGCGACTTATTACTTCATGCAGTAGTTTGACGTAATGTTCTGTACTCTTTTGCAGTAACGCTATGATGAAATAGGATTCAGTCAATGCCACGACAAATTTGAAACAATAACAGAACGGATCTGAAAAAACTTAATAATCACGCATCAGAGCTACGAAACTCACCGAGGACGATTTGATCCCATTCTGGACAGTACAAAACGTATTCCTCAGTTTCAAACAGTTCTATCAGATTGTTCAGCTGTGACCTTCTGGCAGGATCAAAAAGATGCATCGAAGGAATGTGGATGAGCGAAGGGCACAACCTTAGACAATTACCTCATGCTTCATGACGCAAACAGAAAACACACAAGGATCTAGAGGATAAAATAATGGAAAAAATATTGTAGTTGATATTCATAATATGATTAGACGAATAAGTCTGAATGGAGACGATCGACAAACATTCTGAAATGAAACATCTCAACTCCAGGTGTCAGAAATTGAGTTGTTTGCGAACAGAGATAGTCCAAAGAGCGTTTGTATATCAATAACGCATTGAAGAAAAATAGCATTAACAGATACTAGTGTGTTAAAATATTCTTAATAAAAAAAGAGACAGCAATAATATTGTTTGGGAAATCATAAAAAGCGCACACACCAATGGCGCATCTGACTTTGTAACGAATGAATGAATTGCTAGTGTTCGCAGCTCCTTGGGAGTAGCACCGAGATGATGCGAAACCATGACAAAAAGATCAGGACTAACCAGTTTCATAGCTAACAACGTAAGTGACATGACTTGAAGAAATTCGCAATAATGAGGCTATTACTGACTTAATATGACAGACTTCGTCCGACCTATACCCTTCGACCTTCCAGGCACGACTAGATCTTCGGGTTGACAAAAGCCGTCCTGTATAGCTCATTGGGTCGGAGAGGTGCACAAGCTATCACACCACGTCAAGGTGCAGTCCCGTTGTGATGTCCGGATTTGTAACACTTCACATTTCGAAAGGTGGGCAAGCATTGTAGATCATTGTCACATCAAATCTGACGACAGCCACCCAACTTTCCACCACGCTATTATCCAAGGCAGCTATTTCAGTGTCCATTAAATACTGATTTTGCACAAGTCTATCCAAAGACTGGGAAAATATCATTATCTTATTTAGCTGTATCCTGTAGCTGCTTTCTGGAAAAGTAATTTCCTGCTCCTCTCTTCGTGAACGGCACCTGAATAAACCGGTATGATGAGAGGAAACATGACACGAAAACTGTTAAGACTATTCCGATAAGTATTTGTGGATAGAACGCGATTTAGATTTTTCCGATCCGTAATGCAGTAAGAACATTTTTAGGGGAAATCGATAAAATCTACTTATTATCGCATTGAACTAAAATGAAAACAATGTTTTGTTGGAAACAACGCTAACTAGGTGACGCAACATTAGAGCGTGATCATTTATTTGTATGGACTAGTAATTTTAGGCCGGTATTGATGATGGTGCAATGCGTACAACGATTTGAATCACAATAGTGTCAGACAAAACGCAATATTATACCTATCTCATTGTCTCTTCCTTGTTCCACAAGTACTAGACTAGTGCATTTGAGTTGGTAGTCGATAACGTTATGCAACGGGCCTCAGTGATTAAGAAAGATAGGAATAAAGAAACAGCGACAGACTAGAGGTGCAAACGAGTGACATGGTAAATAGAGACCATCACGGATATAGTAGGATATGGCCGAATGCATTCCAAAGAGAGAGGAAGGCAGAGTACGGGGATCTTGATCGCCGCTAGCACAGGGTAGATTGGATGTGTTGCAGAAGCATTGACTTGTGAAGTCTATTATTCACAGCGAATAGGTGCTAAGATGTGACCTGCGCAACAATGAAACCATTACGACTTACCCATCCGGGGGTAAGGTATTCACAGAGCAACCCAGATGAATATGTGGTGTGGCGACTGAGCGAAGCACAGGTTCCTGTTCGTTTACCCACACAACGGACGGGAATCGATTTTTCTGAGAGTCGGTGCTGCGGGACCACGTATTAGACTTTCCCAGTCGGGCAGTTACCCATGACTGGATGGCAATGGTGAATCGGTTTCGGTTAAATGTGGTCAACTGCAAACAACGTACAGCCCGATAATTGGCATACAGGTGTACACCAGTTAGCAAGAAGAACCCGAACCAGATGAGCCTGAAGAAACAAAAATGCGTTTCGGAGGTGATTCAACTTTTGTTATTGAAAGTTCTTCTGAACAGCTGCAAACTTTAAACAAATGATAAATTTTTATTGTTTTTTAAGACGAATATTTATTTATTTATTTCAATATGAAAGAACTTGTCACTCATGTGGCTGCTATGACAAACATTTCCTAGAAGGCTGCTACGCAGTGGTATACCAATTCTCGTGATTTTTGTTCTTTAAAAATGTGCTCAATAAATACGCATTTCGGCGGAGTTAGAGTTGTTTTGAAACTTTGAGGGAATGTAATCGTCAACGGCCGACGCGAACTATGTGGATGTTCGGGATGCACGACCGAAGTCTAGAGAAAGGCAACTTTCAACGCGTCGAAGATCGGTCAGGTATCTGACAGACGGCTAGGTTTAATCAAATTCGTGTATATCGATGGCTATGTGAAAATCGTTATTTACTCTGAGTCCTATTTTCCACTGCAACGTTCTTAGTTTTCTTTTATCACTGTTGGAATTCGTGCGACCTTGAGTGGCAAGCTAAAATTTGTAGTAGATCGAAAATTAAATCTCAAAATTTAAAAAAATATTTCGTGCAGAAAACCATGAATGTTCATTCTTCCTACCAAATGATTGCTGTTTTATGATGTTGTTTATTCTGATCAACACGTATTCTGAATTGCTCGTTTTCCCAATCGGTGCAAAATGAGTAAGCCGATTAATGGAGATTTTCCAGCATAAGTAAATTCCTCAATTATGTGGCTACGAACTACGCACTTAAAATCCCTTATATTGAAGGAATTAAAAATACAGTTTTTTATTACAGAGCAGACGGAGTAAACCCCATAGTCTTAAGGACCTGCTGTTCAGTGATGGAAACCGGTAACCTAAGCCCTGGGACTTGGAGTGGTGAACCACATAAGGCCCCGACAGATTAGTCGTGGTAAGCAACATAAAAGTTGATCTTGAGGTGCGCGGCTCGTTGAATAAGCGTTTTTAGTGTTGTCATGTCCAAGAGATTTGTGTATAAAAATGAAGCCGATAGGCAACTAATGCGAGGCACAAATTCAAAAATTCAGTTCATGACTTGTGCAAGTACTTCGATGTGGAAACAAGCCAAATTTAGTGCATATTATAGGGAAGTTCCGTTAACACATAAATCAAGAGGGAGAAAACTGATCAAATCAAAGCAAGACGATGGTTGTATTCGACCGCAGGTGATAAATTTTGTACACAACTAATATAGAGTATAGTTCGGGCGGTTTAGCACGATGTGCTCGCGCCACCGTTAGGAAAAAGATGACTAAATTTGAACTGCAGCTGAGTTCGCCTGATATGAAGCAGTTATTGAACTCCCAAGAAAGGAGAGCACGTAGAGCACATATAAATCGAGCCACCCGTCCGTTAGGCGATGTGTTTATCTAAATCGAGATCAATGAGCAATACAAGGCGAAGAAAGATGATCTGGTGAACTAGCTTTACAAAACAGACGCACTTTAACTGCCAACAGCCCATTCTAATTTTATTATCGTATGCACTCTTGAACAGTGGTTAATTTTAAATGAATGTATTATTTTGAGGTATCAATGTTTTCCCAATGACGTTTGTTTTCGAAAAATGTATTTTTGGGTCTTTTGATTGGATTTGTGACCTTGATGTCATGTTGGATTGTTTTAACATGTATCGTATATTTAGAGTATATGCAAGACCGGAGTTTGTTCCCGAAGGGATGCACAGGTACACTTGGTCGTGTTATGCATCTGTAGGAAGTTACATCTGTGCACGTGAGTGAAAAATACTGATGGCTTTGGTAATCTGGCAACCGGGGTTCACACGAATAATGTGGAATCCTTTTAGAGTCTGTAAGACTATTCAAAAATGTTACCGGATCCGATCTTTTTGATGATGCTACCTGAGAACATTTGGATGCAGTCTAGTATAGAATGTGGTTTTATTTCTCTATACAAACATTTAAGAACATATCATCCAATTGTATCTCTGTTAAAACATTCTTGTATAGTCCATGTTACACCTTTATAAACTATTTGAGTATTCTGGATTTCAAACTTATGCTTCGTCGTGCTACTCATGAGTACTGTATTCATGATCGCTAAATGTATTGCCGATGGGGCGCTGGTGAGTAACGAGTCTCCTAAGAATTTCATTTCACCTGTCAAAAGAAGTAAATATCCATCCCGCCCAATGAGTTGGATGGGAAGCAAATACTGAGCACTTTTTTGTTGGTCTCCCGCACGTGTCACTTTGGATAACGCGAAATTCGCTGCACTGATGAGGCAGAATTTCGATAACTGTCAAACTCGAAATGCGTTCGCGAAGGTCTTCTTTTTACCAGATAAAGCTCAATTTCGTATCTCAATAGATATTTTTTTATATATTTATGAATCTTGAAGGTTCAATTCCAAGGTGGAATTCATTCAGTTTCCGCCCAGCAGTTAGGATTAGGATGTAATCAAAAAATTTTCCGTGGTAAGTTAGCCACCTCGACAGTGGTCAGGGTGCAGTGTGTATTAGAGGAAGCTAGCAAGTTGTTTGACAGTTAACTTGGTGGAATACATGCAAAAACGACTGCCTTAAGCGCTTAGAAAAAAAGAATGAAAAATACAACATTGACAGACTGAATGAAGAATACCTGTATCATGCCTATGAGTCATTTTCATAAATAAATTCTAATTGTTTTTGACTGATGCTTGTTATTTTATGACTGATACAACAGCGACCGTCATCGAATTCGATAATTCGTACATTTTAATAGCATTCGACTAAGAGAAGTAACAACATACGTGGACATTATTACATATATGTTGCATCCAATGAAGGGCAATATCCATATACAATCCCGTGAATGAGGCTCGAAACATTAGGCGTTGGGAGGTACAAATGTGATGTAAGTGTCAGGGTGTTGCTCGCGTTTGATCAATACATGTATGTATACTCCACGTCATTCTATAATGAACAATACGGGAAGTAAATCCCATTATCAAGGTGACCGACTGTGCATGCACTATAACCGGCAACCTGAAACCTGGGGCTTCGAGTGGCGAATCACATTAAACCCAAATAAGATAAGTTCAGTAGTGAATCGAATGAAATTGAGCTTGACCACCATCCATGTTGGGTGGCGGTGAAATGGTTCAACTCCCGCATCACTACCATTGATGAGTTAAGATTATTTACCTGGCGAAATGGTGGTCATTTACTCACCTTACTTGACGTAAAACTCAAATTTCGTGTCTAGATTGATAACCCGTACCAGTGATGCAGAGTTCCGGGTCAGTGGACCCGATTTTTATGCATGAAAGTGTGTTGGATTATTCCTTTCAGTGTTCAATGCACAGTTGTGCATGAATAACAAAAGTTGAGCAGAGTTACTCACTTAAACCAGATATCAAAGCAATCCCACAGATGTGGGACCAAGTCGCATCTGACATCTTCGAGAAGATCCAACTCATTATAACTCTCAGACCAATGCTCACGTGATAAAATCTCGAGAAAAGCGAGAATCTGAATATTGAATGCAAGAGAACTCACATCCAATTACCGGTTACGAAGTACACGGCGCACAGATTGAATAATAATGCCAAGAGATTCGACAACGTTTCCTGGAACAGGAGAATACTATGCAACTGAGATAAAGTAATCACATGCGTCATTATTATTATCATAATTACGCTTCTTTAGTGATCCAAAAGATAAGCGAAAGAAACAGAGTACTGATAATCTCTGACTTGATCTCTCTTCGAAGGTAGGAGTGTCACTTGGGAGATATTGCAATGAAATTTAAACAGGAAACGAATCGACCTATAGAGCACTACATACGGTGTGTATTTTCATCAGAGAAACTTTATTTATTATACCAAGTTATATTCGTATCATATTATTATTATTACATTATTACCAAGTCCAGGTTGGTCAATACACTATAGCGCACGATGAACGGAGAAGTTGACCTGAATATAAATACATCAAAGACCAAAGCCGTTTAGACCGCGACGATCAAAGCACATCCGATTACCATCAATGGCAAGTCAGTCTAATTCGTACCTGGACTTCACCGTCCAGCCCAACAATAGAGCCAGAAACGAAGTTCAACTATGCATCAACGTCGAGAGGAGAGTTGGTTAAAAGCCCTGATCCCAAACCAAAAAAGGATAGGCTTACGGACGAGACTGCACCATTTTATTAAACAACTTGGTGTGAAGAACAGCAGACGGAGCAAAACCCCCCAGTCACTGGGACCCGCTGCTCAGTCATGGAAGCCGGTAACATAAGCCCTGGGACTTGGAATGACGAACTACATGAGGTCCCACTAGGTTGGGAGTGGTAGTGAACCGAACGATAGCCAAGTTGCCTACCACCAAACTTGAACTGCGATGGCAGGGCTCTAACCTCAGAATATGGGATCCAAAGCCCTCCGGTGACAGTGACTAAACCATGGCACCACCAACACAATGGGTATGGCCTCCGAAGCTGAGAAAAGAACAGGCTTTCATCCTGAGTCGACATTGAAGGCTGAGCGCCATACATGAACAAGGATAGCTAAAATAAGCTGTTTGTTGTTTCAAAAATAGGGACAATGTGTTCGCTCAGAGGGGCTGGCCGCTCTACGGCAGTGTGTTCATACCATAGTACACAGGCTTACGTCGATGGTGGCGTGTTCCGTTGGACAATCATCAAAAGACAGGTGATGCAAATAAACTAGAAAGGATGGGAAGGAAATATATGAACAGATTCGCAAACAAACATCTAAGTTGGTGAACGAGCAGGCTCCCACCCACCCCTATTAACGCCCCAAATCGAGTAAGAGACTGCCGTCAGGATACGTCAGTATGAACGGTAACCTTCTATGACATTGTAATCACATCCGCGGGGGAATCACAAGGTTGGCTGTGATATATTCAGATTGATCGCGTTGTGGCGAATCAGGTGGCTTACCTGACTTCCATCTTTGGCAGCCACATCAGCCATATTATTGTCCAGTGCTTGGTGTTGAATCACGGCCGCCCGCGTAGCGCCACCGGCCACACTAACAATGGACTACAGGAACACAGAATCAAAACAATTATCAGTACAGAAACGCGAAAATTATGAACGGATTGCAAGCAGAATATAGTGAACAATAAAATCATAGAAGCGGTTGCATTCATCACGGTTTACTTATCGCAAATCGATAAGTATGTACACCCAGGATACCGTATTCAATTGGGATTGTATTTTCCGGGTTGAGAATGTGGTTACACCATTCTTTTCTATCTGGAGATCAAGAATATTTGGATACAGGGAGTTAAGCATATTTGTACGCTGATGGACGCTTCCCTGGGCTGAAGATTAACCATGAACAAGCTGTAGCTTGTCGCAACACACACGATCAGGAACAAATGGCGACCGCACTGCCAAGATGTGATGGACTACACGATCCTAACC